GACATAGAGATTATAAATAACACTAGAGGAGGCATTGTAATCTTAATTCAGTAAAAAAAAGGGAACGCGACTATTGGGGGGCAAATTCAAGTCCCGGATGTGTATTCGTGTTCCCATTGGTGACGAGTTTCAAATCAGCCAATGAGAGCACAATTTTATATCCGGGACTTGAATTTGCCCCCCATTAGCTGCGTTCCCAAATTTTAAACTTGATGCCTCCTCTAGTGTTATTTATAATCTCTATGGGGGGAGGCACTCCGAGGCAGTTACTCCATCATGCCCCATGATTATAAAATGCAGACAAAACACAATTGAAAAATCTATCAAAATCCAATCAGGGACAGAATCTGACTACTTTAAACTGATTAGTGCAGTGTGATCAATCAATTGCTGTTTTTAAAGATACGGTACAGTCCGTATGTAAACAAAGGCTTTGTTTTATACATTTCGGTATCCAAAATATATAATTTTATATGTAACTTTATTATAACTATTTATATTTTCATGATTCTAGAGTATAATAAATTATCAAGACACAACAATCAAGTTTTGCAAGAACATAAAATGAAATAAGAACCTAAATAAATTGTTTGTATAATATAAAGAGGGCTCCTTTGTGCACATGCGCAGATCGGACTGTACAGCATCTTTAACCCAGAGATGGATTTACTGGGAGGGGTGCACCCCCCCTAGCCCTGGCCAGAGGGGGTGCAGGGGGTGCTATTTTTAATGATAAAGCAAAAAGACAAAATGAGATACAGTAATTTGAGTAATAACATGATGATAATTCAAATACAGTAGTTGATGGGCGGGCGGCACACATGACCGACACAACTCGGCAGTCGGCACGAGAGCACCCCCCCCCTACCAGATCATGCTGGATCCATACATAACCAGAGGTTTATTTTCACTTTGCCATTTTTAATATTGTTTCCAATGAAAATAAACCTAATCTGGAACAAAGATAACAGAAATCCTAATACCTGTCCATTTGCACACATTACACGCTGCCAAATTGTTTTTGCATGCACAAGACCTCGTCAAGTTTTAATACCTTACTTTGCACACTGGATATGAAAACACACGCACATTGAACATTGTTGGTTATGCTCACTAGATACCAGATAGAAAACAGTAGCTACAGGATGTCTAGTAATTTTAACAATATTTTCACAAATTTAACACATGTGAGTTGAATTAGAAAACTACAATATTTATTGCTACTATTAGGACAGGCTATTTATGATGTACTGTCTTGTCTTTTTTTCTAGAAAAAAAATGGAAGGAGTAATTACAGAGTTCAATGGTCACAAGTACGTATTAGCAGCATATTATATATTTTTATACCCTGCAAGTGGAGCCTGATTTCCCCCGAGAAAGGAAAATAAGGCTCTGCTGTTTGTGTGTTGGATTTCTGTTGAGCATCAGCTCTGTTTCAAATCTGTCAAAAGGTGCCTACCCCTCCGGCCAGCAGAAATGTTGTCCATTGGAGTGTGGATCTTTCCTGGAATGACCCATCTGAACTCCTTTCTTCAGGTTTCTAAACCACCACTTTACCCTCTGATCTATATGGTTTCATCATGCTCCAGTTCAGTGCACATGGAGGAGGGCATTCAAACAAAAGAATCTCATTAGAATCTCATTATTTGGCCTCCACCTGCCTTTGTGTTAAAGTCTCATATGGGATTGCTTAACTTAAATTTTCCCCAAATGGGAACCAATAATATGTTAGTCTTTTTTGGATGAATACAAATTCGGTCTTTTCGGACAATACTTACAGCTAACGCTTCTTTGCGTTGGTATTCTTTTCTTGCAAACTCTTCTTGTATCCAGCCTGGGACATCTGGGATGATTGTTGCTATGATGAACTTGGTACCTAACAGAATATGCTGAAAAAATATACAATGACCATTAACACTTAATTGAAACCTAATTTGAAAAATATGCAATCAAGCTCAATTTAGTTTGACCTGGTAGGGGGTATAAACCTGAGGTTGATCAGCATCTGGTTGGGAGTTTAGTAATGGGCAGACAAAAATTAAGGAGTGCCAGTACTCTTCCCTTGACGAGTAAAATAATAAAGTATGGCCAATTAGGGTGCAATGCAACCTAGCTAATGGGTTAATGGCAGATTTAGTCAGGCTAGCCTAAAATGTTCTATTACAACCAGGGCTTTTAAAATAACCCGGCGGCTGCCGGAGTTCCGGCGGGTGGCACGAAGTTTACCGCCGGTTACTGTGTTTAGTACTTGAATTATCAATTCTGCTCTCGTTCCTCCACTCTGAGCTTTAAAACAAAGTTATTTTTCCTCAACTTGGTCCACTTTATATAGCCTGGTTATTTTCGAAAATGACGTACTATTTTGTAAAACTGATTTAGTTATTTGCCATCTTAAATCTTGAAGTTACTTTGTTGAAGAATGAAAGCAAGGGACTGGTCGTGAAGTATAGGTGGGGGTGAGCTATGGAAATTGAGGAGTCAATCAATTTTCCAAGTCTCAAATTTTAGACCGCCTCCTTCCAACAGCCGCCTACTTTATCAAAACAGACGCGCCTACTCTGAATAATTCTGAAAGCCCTGATTACAACTTACTTCGGCAGCTACGAAAACCAATATGGTGTTAAGAGTTGTGAAATCCGAGGGCAGCCATCTCTGAACAGCTGGCGACATTGCCAATAAAGCACAATTTGTCATGACTGCCAAGACACTCATTATTTCAAATGCAATCTAACAGGATATTGAATAAAGACTTTAGAATTACTATCATACACCTGTGATCATGTAACACTACAAATGTAACAAATTAAGGGAGGGACAGCGACAAAAATAATAAATTGCCTCCATGCCATCTAATCATACAATTTTTCTAAATATTTGTGGCGTTACGCTAACAGGTTGAAAAGTATTTTAGCATGTGCAAAATTCGAATATCTTACAGTGGACATGTAGTTGTTATAAAAAGAATGCAAACCCAAAAACTGCATGTTTTAAACTCATATAATTTAAACACCTTGTACCCATTACCTGCCACGCCCCAATCCCCTGAGAAGGCTGCGCGAAAATTCTCTGGGAAATCTTGCTTATCTTAAAGGCATCGGTTCTCAGTTCAAACACATTGTTGAACAATGCCCAAAACGCAGCCATAGGGTAGACAGATGAGAATAAAAATACGTAGCCAAACTGTAAGAATAGTTCCAAATAGTCCCAGAAAACACCCTACAACAAAAAGAGTCCTGTTAAATGCTACAAAACACAGCGACAGCCTAATAAACCTCCCGTTGAAAGGACATAGTTTTTTGACAAAAAATAATCGCAAAAAGGATACCCGTCCGAAACTTACCCAGTATGGTTCTTGTTTCATTTGGTATTCAATATCATTCTCGATCTTGGCGAAGAGACCCAAAGTTTTGCTTTCTTTATTCAATTTGGTTGAGCGGGTTTTGTATAAGATATAGGGCAAGAGCTGTTCTGTTACTTGACCAGTTAACTGAGATGTTATCATCAACGCTGCTAAATGCTATAAGTATAGTGATATATCATAATTTTATAATGTTATAAAAATTATTAATTAAACCAAATGGCCTTATAATCTTGTGAATCACAATGTATGATTCTGTATAGTCTATAGAGCATTAGGGCGGCCATAAGCATGCATCTATAACTGATATGACTTTAAATGCATTCGCATTTGGGTAATTATTTCAGCATAATATAGGTATTACTGCAGCCTGGTGAATATAGGGCGCTGGCTACGAGGAAGTCATTTCATGTAGGAGATATTTCGAAACTTCAGTCTAGCTACGACAGTTAGGAATGCTAAGACATACTTATATTAAAGTTCCAAAATATCACCATTACTCGAACCGACTTGAATTCGTACCTCAGTTGGTATACCATTGGACTAGCGAATCAAAAGTCGCAGGTTGGATTTTTAGCTTAAAACATAGCTTTTCGTTCCGTATGATACTCACATTTCCCAGAAGGTCCATATCTTGAAGTACGAAGGCGATGTAGAATAACGAATAAAAGTTGTTGATGAAGAAAAACTAAAAAATAGTGTTGAGAAAGTGGTTATAAATAATGGTAATGACTGATAATCCTATACTTAAGGTTCCAATACTCACCGAAATTAATTTAATAACAAGGTGATTCTGATGACTCGATTCCAGTTTATGATTTTCTGTAATAAAAATATTTTGACAAATATGATGATGACTTGTAGCGCGTAATGGGCAACTAACCAAGAAACATTGTTTCCTATTCATGTTTCCTGAAGGTGGGCAAATCAGGAAACATTTTTCTTAGCCATGTTTCCTGAAGGTGGGCAAGCCAGGAAACATTGTTTCCTAGTCATGTTTCCTGAAGGTGGGAAAACCAGGAAACATTGTTTCCTAGTCATGTTTCCTGAAGGTGGGCAAATCAGGAAACATTGTTTCATGGCCATGTTCCCCAAAGGTGGACAAACCAGAAAACACTGTTTTTTAGCCACAGTTTCCTGAAGGTAGGCAAACCAAGAAATATTGTTTCAGATTTAATTCTGTGAGGGAGGAAAAAAAACACACATTTGGAAAACAACAATTTACTGGACAGGGAATGTTGTTCCAATATTTTTCCAGCCCAGGCTGAAAAATTCTTACCCCAATCATTCAACATCGTGGCAGTCCTGAGGTACAAATTATTGAGAACGAGAATCACGATAGTGTACACAACACTTGGCATCGTTGTCATAAATGTCGCCGTAAATCCTGTTTCCTTCGCATACTTTTCATTCAGACTATCTTGTATACGGATATAACCCGACATGACAGTGATTGCAATGTAGACACAAAACAGAATTATAGGAACTGAGACGCATGCTATTTTGAGGTGACGATGGTGGTCGGGCGAGTGGATTTCTTTCTTTCCTGTTATTGGGCTGGTTCGTGTTTCACCGATAAATAATGGCCGTGGATCTTCTTCGTTTTCTTCAGCTGGGGGAAAGAGTAATCCAGTGTTAAAGAATTAAGTTCAGAACTTCAAACATTCTTTTTACAATACAAACAGGCAGGAAAGAGAAAATTACGTTAAAAGGAGAAAATTATTAAAGATGTTGCATCCCCCTAATGTTTGAGAAAAACAATTTTGTAGGTCAAACATTCAATCATTTGTTGGGCAAAAATACATTCATGATGAGATCAGATCAAGACTTTTGAGCAATTTTAAAAATTTGCTAATCTAATACACGTCGTTTTCTGACCATCAGAATTCGGTAAAATCTTCCTCCCCCAAAGTGCATGAAATGGGGTTTCAGATACTCTAAATTTGACAATGGCCACAATCTTTTTTGTTGGGCAAAGCGACTCCACACCCCTTAATGTTTAAACTCAAGTTACGTCCTCGGTCAGAATGATACAGTGGAAAAAAGAGATCGAAACAGGCAAAAACTAAAACCTCGAACATTCACGCAATTACCTAAACTATGTTTCAACGTTCCCCAGCGATGAGTCATTGTTGCGCAGTTCCTTTTCCAAAACTCCAGGAACAAAGTTCCCCAGAGTACATTGATCAAGGCGAATATGATGTTGTACCACAGCTCATCCAGGTTGATTAACGAGAAGAAAAATACAAGTAGGACTAGAGGAACTAAGGCGAAGGTGTAGTACTCCAGGAAAGCAAAATAAATTGCAATTGTTGAACCAAAGTAATCTTTGATTTCATCTATGAACAGAGAAAAACATAAATACTGTATGCTTGTAATGTTACTCTGAGTGTATATCCACACCGGGCAGGCTTGAAATATATGCCTGGCCACGGTGGGAATCGAACCTACGACCTTTGGAACACCAGCCCAATGCTCTGCCAACTGAGCTACGCGGTCAGGTCGGTTCGAGTATGTGATATTTCGAAACTGAATCTAGTTCCTTCGATATCAAAGTAATCCAGTAATCATGATATTTTCTGTGTTGGTGTAATGTACACAAACACAGAAAATAAATACTGTAGTTCTTAAAATGCTTTGAATAGGTTGTTAGTGTGCCGCTTCTTACTGCTGAATTAAGCTTGCTACTCTAGTGTGTTAGTTGATGTGGGACTAACCTGCTCTGACGTGATGTAAGGCATATTTTTAACATATATACTGGTGGGTCAGACTGGGCCCTAACCTTACCACGAGTGACCTAATTCTTACTCTGGGGAGCACACACTGGGTCCCAATCTTGGTTTTGGTCCCCTACTCATTCTCGTACCCAGAGCCCTTCTTACGCGCGTTCGTCCGAGCGCGACGAGGGGCTCTGTCCAAATCCATAACCAGATACCATAAAAACATGGTAAGAAAACAATATCCGGTATTACAACTAGCTAACCTGATCAGATGCCAGTTCGGATATGGATTTGGCCAGTTCGGATATGGATTTGGCCATTTCGTCGCGCTCGGTCGAACGCGCGTAAGAAGGGCTCTGGGTACGAGAATGGTCCCCTACTGTAAAACGTTTAAAATATGCATGTGATGTGATGTGCTTGAAAAGCTGTGTAAGTAGATTTGTGGTTGGTGTTCTCCTGTGCTCCAAGAGTTTCTCTCCCTAGAATAGCGGTGTTCCGTCATCAGTTCTACGGTGGCAGCCAGAGACGCTCTAATAAGACTCGGTCACATTTGAGTTGCGTCCTTCACAACTCAGCTCTTATCTTTAAACGTAATTCAAAGCTGCATCCGTTCCTTTTCCTGTGTTTCTTAAGAGTATACACTAGCTTACCTAGAGGTTGTTTCCATTCAAAAGATGTATACCATTTCTTCTTGAGTGGATTTAACTCATCTTTGTTGTGTAGTGGAACGATCTGAGTGACATGGCCAAATGCTTGCACCAACGGAACTAGTGTTGAGCAAAAATAAAGTTGTGAACAAAAATTTCCGGGAAATGTTATGATCATATTTATTTGCTGAACCTGCAAAGTACTTCGTTTCTCTATTCTCTCTCAGAGTTCTTAATATAACTTGTTTCGATGTTTGTGATGTAAATACTCTGAGTGTGTATCCACACCGGGCAAGCTGAAAAGTTTGCCTGACCACGGTGGGAATCGAACCTGTGACCTTTCGGATCAACAAACACAAAAAGTATCATATCTTAGAATACATTGATACTGAAGGAACTGGACCCAGCCCCGAAATATCACCATCTCGAACTGACCTCGTAACTCAGTTGGCAGAGCATTGGACTAAAGGTCGCGGGTTCGATTTCCACTGTGCATGGTCAGGCTAACTTTTCAGCTTGCCCAGTGTGGATGCACACACAGAGTAAAGCCGGTTTTCCAATAGGCGGAATTTTGCGCGCGGAGAGGAATTTTTCTTTGTCTTGTGATTTCTCGGGTGGAACTAATTAGAAAAGACAAAGAAAAATTCCGCTCCGCGCGCAAAATTCCGCCTAGTGGAAAACAGGTTTAACATCACAAACATCATATTCACATGAGTACAAACACCAACAAATACAATATAATTTGTTACATCTCTATAACTTACTTATTGCCTGACCAGTGTGCATTTGTTTATCCGGACATCCTGGCACTGCCATATCCTCCGGGGCTCTCAAATCATTCAAAGCATCAAAAATAATCATCTGCTTGTCTGCGGTGTTCAGAAGTCGCATATTGCTGTTTTCACAGGCCTCCTGCAAGTCTTGCCAATTTTCCTGCGTGATTTCCTGCAGTTCATTATTTTTGTCCCGTTTCTTCATTTTGAGGTCTTCGGCTCCACGAATGAGTCGTTTCTCCGTTGCGGAGAGGTGGAATGTTTTCTTGGAGTCTTGGTCTAACACTGGTTTCACCTGAAGTCCAGCACCTTGTGGTACTAAACGCATTGTAAATACATTTACCTATTTTGTATTCGAAATAAAGCTCCAGGGTCGGTTGTTCAGAAGTCGGTTACCTTTCAGCTTAATTCTAAGGTTAGCAAATTATTCAAAGCAATCTTCCCAACACCTTTTTAATTTTTACATGGAAATGTTTGTTTTTCTAGAAATCTTGTCTGGGTCAACAGGAGTTTTATTTTCCAAAGTTTTGAACTAGACAGACATGCAGAAATAATACACAAACCAAAACAGCAGGTTAAATGTTAACCCAAGGTTAGCGCTAATCCAGGTTTGAACAACCACCCCCAGTCAACCGAGGACAAGAGTTGATAGGCGAGAGCTCGCACGACAGTTCCCTCAACTCTCATATTCTGGTCAAACGAGGCTCTACAAAACAGTAACAGATTGTGATGTTGTCTCTGAGTGTGTCCACACCAGGCAAGCTGAAAAGTTTACTTGACCGCAGTGGGAATCGAACCCGCGACCTTTGGTTTGCCAGTCCAATGCTCTACCAACTGAGCTACGAGGTCAAGTCTGTTCAAGTGTGTGATATTTCGCAAATCAGTCCAGTTCCCTCAATATAAGTGTGTATAACACCATAAACAAAATCGAAACAATATCGTGAAAACACTGATATCGAAGGAGCTAGAAATATCACACATTCGAACCGACTCGACCTCGTAGCTCAGTTGGTAGAGCATTGGACTAGCACACAGAAAGTCGCGGGTTCGATTCCCACCGTGGTCATGCAAGCAAACTTTTCAGCTTACCCGGTGTGCACACACTCACAGACAACATCACAAATATATATCTTCACCTAAGTGCAAAAAATATACAGACCAAAGTTGTACCTGGTGCGCTAAACATTCCTTTTAACCATTCTTTTGTTTCTTCCGAGCAATCATCAGAAAATGCAACGACCACTAAAGTGTTGGCATTATCTAGCTCAATTGGATCAACGTTCTCAACACTACCAGCAGTTGAGTCTGGCAAGCTAGGTGCTGCTCGATGTTTGACTTCCATGAGGAGATAGGAGAGCTATCAATATATAGACAACTGAAGAGTTCAGTAATAGTTTACAAACATGCATGCGTTCACAGATATGTACTTGAGAAGAACTCGCGCGCGTCAGAACGCATCTTCCGGCTGGCGGATCATCTTAACTTAAAACTTAAAATGTAAACTTAAAACAAACTTTCTAGGCGAACTATTCAGAATAGCTTGATCTATATTGGCAATGGTTCTGGGAACACTAATCATGCCTGATAGCTTCCTGAGAGGTTCGTCCTTTTATATACACAGTCACAGATCCGTTTTATACCAAGATCCACGATACAGCTAAGGCTAAGCCGTGGTCAAACGAAAATGAGAGTTGATTAGAGTTGGCAATCATGCCGGAATTGTTACAGGGACATTTCAAGCTCTATATTAACAAAAGGTTAAAGGTTTGATCTACGCTCGTGTTCCAAGATCCGCCATGTAAAGTGTAGTGAAATGTATCTCATCGTAATATTAAATCCTAAGAAAACAAAAGCCTCTGCGGAGGAGAGAGATACATGATAGTGTTGAGAATCATTATAGGTCGCGTGACTCTCGTGCGCTCTCATCCTCGTTTTTATTCCGGGCTCTAGGATAAATGAATCTATACAGGCACAGGCATTTTGTTGGAAACTCCTGGCAGTATAGATCGCGTTATTCTAGCTGATTCGTCTTTATAGTTAGTGTGGATGATCAGTCTTTAGAGTCTAATATAATTTCCGGCTACTACTTATAATAACTTGAACTGTAAAATGTTTGCTGCCTATATCATCACCGCAATGCGCGGTGGTTTTATAATAGGTTTTATAACCAATCTTCCATGCATACCCTTAAATTATTACTTAGAAAGAAATATAAATGGCAAACAATAATCAATACGAATAACTGATGAATGATGTGTTACATGCATTAGTGGACATGTGATGAAACTCCCGCAAGTCATGTAGCGTTGTTTAATATTTAACCAGTATTTGGAAACAAGAACGAGACTACTGGCAGAATAAATAAAGCAATTTAGGCTTGTTTATCCTCTCTACATATAAGATTTTTGTTAGCATTCCTATTACAGATTGAGAGTAAAAATCTGGAGAATTCACTAGTGACTAGAGCTTCAATTTATAAAACAAGGGCATAGATCAATCGATTACCGTAAAAAAGTCACCGATTAAAACGACTCTATCTTGGCCTTTTGGGAACTCCCCCAAATGTCGGTAAAAATCTATTAAATTACTGTGTCTGTGGTTGAATTTACAAATCGCAAGGGGACTTGACGAGTAAAAGGCTAATATACATTCCCACCAAACATTGCAAAATTTATACATGTCAACACAACATCAGTTTAAAAACCGCTTACATCTTTTTCTTGTCTCGCGTAATGCTCTCGTACTAGCTGTTCGTTTATTTCGTCGTTCGCTATAAGCTGTTTCCTTTTCTTCTTAAATATTTTGTCGATCACGGCTGCCATGCAGAAGTGTATTGTTTTGAGATCAAATGTTTCGGTTTCCCGGAGAATTTGACCCAAACGGAATATATTTATTAGCTTAGCAGTGTTTACATTGATTCGCAAATTATACAGTCGTTGCATATATTATCGCGGTTGGAATCTAATGGTTTTGTACGTGCAATAACATTGTGTTTATACTTTGACGAAAGAGTTTTCTTTTGGTTAAACGAATTTGCAAAATAGCTTGAACAAATTAGATTCTATACTGCAGTACACAGTGTAGCATAGTAAAGATATTCAGAATAGTTTAATTAAATATGTAAGTGGCTAGAACATTCGTTTCCTACATATTTCTCTAGTCTCATCATATGTGCAGTTAACACAAATACGAGTATAGCAAAAATATGGAATACACCACTATATAAACACTAATCGTACGTTATAAATTAAGTTACAACTGTATAGAAAATCGATTAAATAGTCTAGCTGGCTAGAGCGACAACTGTATCAATTATTATTTTAACAACCAATTCAAATGGTTGATTACTACCTATACTGTATAACCATCGAAATAGAATGACTATCTAAGACCAGATGATGGTAGACTGTTGAAATCTAACACTTACTGTATAATACAAACCTTTCACGTCTTGGCCTATTTACTGTGTGCTTTAATCGTCGACAAAGTGAGACGAATGTCTGACTACAGGTAGGATCTGAGGATCAATACAGTGGTCATGAATAATTAAAATTAAAGACCTGTTAATTAATGTCACGTGAATGCGTCCCATGGTTAATGACCCGTTTGCTAAGGCTAGGGCATATCTGTGGTTGGTGGACTCGGTTCCCACCCATATGAAAAGGCTTTGTGATTGGTTGATTATGACAGTAAAAGACAAACTATAGAAATATTTCTAAAGAACGAATCATAAACATTCATAATTTTTGTTTCAGAAATCGAACCACAAAACGTGTTCATAAGCAGGTACTTTCTGGTGGCATATCAGTGACCGATCGAGGTTATTATATGCCTCAGTGAGTCGAATGGTTGCAGTTTGACTGTAGCAAATCTCACAGGTCTCTGGCTTTTCCCCTGAGGTATACTTACAAAACGAAAGCAGGGAAATCTTTCTTTCGAATTTGCTTTTGCTCCCAGCTTATCAGTTGTATTTTCACTTTCACGCTTGTGCTGTCATTGCTTACGTCATGTACTTCATTGCATTTCGTTTCTGTAATCCTTTTACCTGATCTTCTGCCTGCGTTGCATCGTGGAACACAGGGGCCGGTTGTTCAAAGCTGGGTTAGCTTAAACCCAGGTTAAGCTAAAATTCAGAGCAACTCCGAACTTCCTGGCAGCTTGCCTATGAATTCGGAAATATTTCTTCAGAGATCTTGTCCGGATCGATGGGAATTTACTTCTCTGAAGTTTTGAAATAAACAGACGTGCAGAAATACACAAACTAAAACAGCGGGTTAATTTTAACCGAGGGCGAGGGTTAGTGCTAACCCACCTTTGAACAACCGGCCCCAGGGCTCTTGTGGAAACCATGAACGACATTTTCTTGAATTTTTATGTTGACTTTATTTGCTTCGCCATTCGGCATGCAGCAGAGAATTACCATAGCATAGTCAGAATACATGTTCGTTTTACAGTGAAATGTCTATATTTGCATTTATCGTAATATGAATCGTTCATTTCTGTGAAATTAATTATAATGTGCTCCCCGCAATCATTTGATCATTATTTTTATATATATACATTATGAATATTATAAAATATGGTTTGTTAAATTAAGTACAAACTGTTAGTATACCGAGGAAAATCCTGTTCGATTGGTTTACAAATACTGCTCACCTAAGTTCAATACTTACTCCGTATTGAATGCTTGAAGATTTTCACCAGTATACTTACATCTTATAAAAGTGCACGGTGCTTCTATGAAATTGTAACACAACCGTGGTCTACCCACTCAGAAACATAGGCTACGCCCACACTAATCCGTTTTCGTAGCGTTTTTAGGTGATTAGGCCATTGTTGTGTATTCGCTTGGACATTTCGAATTTTCTTTGCAGTCATAAAAAAATTTCGCCGTTGGTACCAGTTACTCAGAAGTTCGACTGTAGCAATAACTTATCAAGGTGTGCCTGTATTTTTACAGAAAATGTTATCAAAAATATATATTGAATATCTACGATGATGTCACTTTGGCGCGGTGCACGAAAGGACCTCTGCATGAAATATCAGGACGCCTGAAATACCATCACCGACAAGTTGGAATTACTGCATCATTCCACGAGGTGTGTTGGTCGTGTCATTTTGAGATATGGTAGGATTTATTGGATAACTCGCTTGACTACTGCCCTTTTCTTGTTTGACAAGTGAGATGCCTTGATTGCGTATGGCGTGAATAACCTCAGGGTTCGTAGCCTCTGCACTGTTCATATCAACTGGAGTGTACCCTGGCAAACAGTTGATATTATTTGTGTCAAAGTTAATTGTATTGTACAAGGGATTTTGAGTCGCGAGTCTTGCTGACTGCAAGCTTGCTTGAGCGAGCTGTTCCATCCCGTGAGTGGACTGGGCTAGACCATTAATGGTGTGGGTTGTGCCCAGTGGTGGTGTTGCTGCACCCAGTGTAGATGAGGTTGCCCCAAGTGTAGCTGAGGTTGCCCCGAGTGTAGTTGGGGTTGTGCCAAGCGTAGGTGGGGTTGTGCCAAGTGTCGGTGAGGTTGCCCCAGGACTCATGCCGTGTAGTGAGGCTAGTTGGTCTGGAAGGGTTGAGCCTAGAAAATGAGAATAAAA